GTTTTGCGAGCCCTGTTTAGCTTAGTAGTGGCAGCATCTTTGATCTCGGTTCATCGCGAGTAAGGTAACATATACTAAAGCTAATCGTCCGAATCTCCATAATGCTGCAAGGACCTTGGCTAACCAAAATTCTATCAGGATGCTGAAATTGCAAGTTTTGAAAAATTGGAGTTCGTGAGTGTAGGTAATTATGTTCCAGGTGGTGCCTGAAGAATTTTGTTGAGTGAGTGCGGGACGTGGTGCAGAATTGACCAGGCTCTGCTTTCGATAAAGATTCTATTTTCTTCAATTTCTTGTCTAATTCAGGCCTCAGGGATGCCGAACACTGCATGTGAGAGTGACTAGACAGCATTCTTCTTGGTAGATATATGTTGTGATTATTATCTGGACGCTGCAGACCTTGGTTGTTGGCAATGACCTTCTATGCACCCATTTTTTCTTATTCAAAAAAGGAATAATGCCACTGATTAAGTTCAGTAATGGCCTGATTATTCCCTGCTCTGATAACCTTATGTACCAAATTAAACTTCGTTGATCGTTTGATAGTTTTGGGAAAGATCCGTTGCTGGGGTTGCTAGAAGATAGAATACCTCGGCATAAGTTTCCTCTTCAAGCAATTTAAACTCTGACTCTGTAGAACATGAGCTGAGAGAAAAGGAATCAAGGTATTACACCATCAGAGATGCATACCTCCATGGTAATAGGCAACAAAAGTTACAATAACTGAGTCTGTGAGGCAGCGTGAGCGGCGAGCGCAACAGATCTACATCGTATTGAATCATTTTGGTAGGTTTATGACCTTGGCTCGAATCTCTATAACGAATGATCGAAATCCACGATAACTTTGAGAAGAGAAGAGACAATAAAGAAGCATCAATGACGGGATATGCCCTGAAAGACCTCTCATGTCTCTCCGAGTCTGTTTGTTAGTCGGCCAATTGATAGTGAATATGTATATGTCACCCTCTTCCGTGAAACGTGACACTAAAGCTCCGAAGCGGGAAGAGTACATGCACAGTGAAGATGATGATTTTTCCATTAAGCCTTGAGTAAGGTCACCAGCAGCTACGCTTGCCATCCTCCCAATGGACGTAAGATCCAGGGAGTGGACAAGTAGAAGAACGATCCTCTGGATAGATGGCTTTCTTGCACGACCTTGCGCAACAGATAGAGTGATGATGTACTGGCGGTGTGGTGGTAAAAAGAGATGAGAGAAGAGGGGGAGGAGTAAAATGAGTAGCACCAGAAACAATGGTAGCGGATGGGAGCGAGTAGGTGGATATTGGTTAATGATTAGATGCATTGTGGATGAACAGCTCGGGGGTTTAAGCCATGGATCATAATCGTAATTCCTAGCTTTTTGACACCACCGCCCACCACTACCACCCACCACTACCACCCACCACTACCACCCACCACTGTCTGTGAGTGCATCACCGGCATTGTGTTGGTATCTAGGTACTCGAGGTACTCAAGGTACTCAAGGTACTCTGTATACTTTGCAGCTTTGCTGTATGTCGGAAAGAATTGATTGGGCTAGTCGGTCAACTTTTCCTTGCAATGAACTAGCCCCCAAAACTTCTGTGATTGATTGAGTATGCAAAAGCATCCCGTGAGAATCCATGCAAAAGGCCAATGAAAGTCGGCGAGCGTTTGCGTGGAGTAAGAGTCGTAAGTATGATGACGATGTGAATAGGGATAAACAGTCGATCTCTCTCTCTCTCTCTCTCTCTCTCTCTCTCTCTCTCGTCGAAGCACCTTGGTGTTCCTCTGATATGATCGAGTTGCCATGTTCAAAGGATTTTTCAAAGTATTATATCGTAGAGTCGTGCAGATATGTCATTATCAATTCTAATGCTAATAGTGCATAGTGCACGGATCGAAGAACGGGAACTAGAACTTTAGCGGCACCTTCAACATCCACTCCCAAATGCAACTAAAATGTTACAATCCCGGAGATGTTTCGAACCGTCCAACATCACGGCTGTACCCCTCAAGCCCTGTCAAAGACAAGACCAGAAAAGACCGCAAAAGCTCAAGTTCATTAACCCAGCTGGTTAGGTTTGACCCAAAAAAAAGAATCAACCCCTTGCCTGACACTTTATCCGCATGCTCAAAAACACGGAAGGTCGGGCTTGCTAAATTATGCTGCAATAGAAGTCGTCCGCTAGTCATTCATCGCAATTCAAGACACATCCACCAAACATACCACACCCTATCCCGCAAAGTAGGAGTCTCAGCCAACCAAAAAGCTCTCCATACAGCAGGTCGCACTCTCAATATCACTCACCCGGTTCCTGGGACTTTTCACAGCTTCCTTGAAGCCTCCAGCCATCACCATGCTTCCTATCACTCCAGGGTTGTCCTCCATTGGGGTTTCTATATCTCCCCCCAGCTTTCCCCGCGACTATCAATGGAGAGCTGCTCTTTTTTCCTTTCTATCATTATTGTACTTTGAAGTTACACATATATTAAATTTGGTTCCAACCCTCATTCATGCACTCGCAATCAGATTTCGAACAATCAAACAAATATCTTGTGCTTCGCCCTCCTCGGCCACTCTTATATAGCACCACATCTCTGGTTGAGCAATTACTATCACCATTTCATTTCGCATCTCAAGACATTAATGATACTTAAAGGTAGCAATCCTTCCACATCTCTATCGTCAATTATTAAGCTCTAATGCGTCCAATACTTACTAGTAGCCTATGCAGATACCTCTACCTGACAACACTCAATCGAACGTCTATAATATCACGATATATTTGACAATCTCCCACAATATGTATCATTTAAATCATGATGCGCTACCAATTCACCAGCCATCTGATGGTAGGAGCATCAGCTATGGACGAGAGCCGCTACCCTACCACGACAATGGCGACGACAGGGCGCAAATGCCAAATTTCAATCCTCTCAGGCTTCCTCCCATATCTTCATTGCTATCCTCTTTACCACCGGAACAAGTCGAGGAGGGTCAGGCATTCGAGGGCTCATATCGCCCGCCATCACAAGGACCACGGTCTCCAGTGGCATTGAACAGGCCAATGTACCTACATCAGCAACAACGTAGTCCTCGGGAGCTTGAACGTACTTTCAAGCATTCCCAAAGCCCGCTATCTCCATACTCGACATGTCCACCGACACCCATGTCAGATGCATTCGCGACTAGGGAAGGATCTGTTGCAGCTCATCACCACGGTCCGTTTGCCCCTCCTAGGTATGTTATTTTGGTATCCATTGTCAATGGATGAAGGCTCATTGTACTCCAAGGGCTCCGCCACCACTCCTACCTCAGCCAGAATGTAGATTGGTCGTCATGCAACAGCCGATATCAGCACGAGCTTGTGGATATGGAGACAAGGACCGTCGAATGATAGATCCGCCGCCAATCCTGACACTTGAAGTATTCGATAAGGATACAGGTCAGGCCGTTGATCCGAAAGAGAGAAAGAGAGTCTTGAATAGATTCATGCCGATAGTGCATTGCACACTATGGAATCCCTACACGAATTGCGAAGATGACAAGATCGAGGGAAGCAGTGACCGTAGAAACCAGAGGAGGATGGTAGGAACGATGGTGTGTAATGGATTTAAAGCACTCGATCCTCATGGCGATGAACGATTCTTCTTCACTTTTGCCGATTTGTCTGTTCGATTCCCGGGTGACTATCAATTGATGTTCAGATTAACGTTGATCGACCCAGCTGCAATGGGAAAAGGTCAACGAAACGGGATCATGAGTCCCTTGTTAAGTAATATCTTTAAGGTACACAATGCCAAAGACTTTGAGGGTATGAGACCGAGCTCTGATCTAGCAAAATCTCTTGTCAGCCAAGGCTATCCTAATATCCTCAAGATCAAGAAAGGGAATGCGAAAACAATTGCAATGGCTGGCCAAGGGGACGACGAAGATGATGATGATGAGATGGGAGGAATATAAGTGAGGAACGCACGTGAAGCCAGTTCTAGCTGAGCGCAATGATAAAGACCTCGGGACTCAGCCAAAGTCTAGTGAATGGCTGCTTTGATAGTGAGGGCGAAGATTTACGAGCTTTGATTTTTGCATAGGATTCGTTGTTGATCCTTTGAAAGCGGGAGTTAGCGTCTCAAAATGGTTACTCTTTTGGTGAAGCGATTTGGACAACAGTATGAATTTATGAATTTATGAGGAGCAAGAGCAAGAGCAAGAGCAACAACGTTAGTATTGGGCTGTACTGGTAATTGTACTGGCTGTTTGGTGAAAACTTTGGTATTATGATCAAACTTCACCCCAAGTTTTGCATTCTACAAATTGTTATGTGGCAGTGGAAGATATATCAATGAATATAAATAAATGTTAAACATCGCATATCAGATATCAATTGAAAATGGTATATCAAGATTAGTTTCTATTCTTTACTTTTTTTCTCCTATTCTTCAATTAGCTCTAGCTATTCGTCTTGCTAGGTACCTGCCTATATATCTAAATGGATCTAGGCAACTTCGAATCCATCTTCTCCTACTACTATAGTAATAATAATAAAAGGCTGATTCATCTAGAGATAGCCCTATTTGTTCCATGTTACTCTCCACGTCAACAAAAACCTTGACAACGGGGGTTCAGAAATAGATTTCTAATTATTTGTATATCAAACCACTTCGATGTATGAGTACGTTGATCTAGACGATTCTGAACGCATGATCCACAATATTATATTGATTAGGTATACCTGGAACCTCCAAACCTCCTTCAAGCTATCGTTTTACCTGATTTGCTATTTGACCACCCAGTATTCTGAAATGTGAATGAGTGCAGATAATTTCTAATTCTTTGACTGGCCAATGGAAGAAAATACGACAACAATGTCAACCTGAAAACCCAAGCAGTGTGTGCCACACAAGGCTGAAAAGGCTGAGATTGATCAGCCACAAACATTGACCCCGCCAATAAATTTCGAGTCCGACAGGCTGATCTAATCCGAGATAGGCTTAGCATGTGATAGGCTCTGGGACCCCACCACCAAAAACTTTAAAACTTTCGATTGAGATTTTCCTTTTCCTTTCCTCCTTCCCTCTGGCATAAGCCAGGAAGGGTACCATAAATTTCATCAAGTTTGTCAAGATGAAGTACGTTCTTGTATCTGGAGGTATGTATTTGATTGATTCATAATTTTTGCTTTTGAATCGAGAAAAAATGAAGGTTAACATGGGTTTTAGGTGTCATTTCCGGCATTGGAAAGGGCGTTATCGGTATGTAACCAAATTTTGAGGAATGACGACAAAGAGATATGAAAGATACAAGATGAGTAGTATACTGATGAAGTGGTTGCGCAACAGCCTCTTCCACCGGCTTGTTACTTAAGACGATTGGATTGAAGATATGTTCCCGATAAACCACAAAATTAGGCAGAATCTTTAGGCTAACTTCGAAAGAACGTCACATCCATTAAAATCGATCCTTACATGAATGTCGATGCCGGAACCATGAACCCTCTCGAGTGCGTCTAATATGTCTATTTACGAAATCTGGGATTGAGCTAATGGGCGAGTGTGTAGGCATGGAGAGGTCTTTGTTCTCGATGACGGAGGAGAAGTCGATCTCGATCTTGGAAACTACGAGCGCTATCTCAATATCACCCTTACTCGCGAAAACAACATCACCACGGGCAAAGTCTATCAGCATGTCATCGAGCGTGAGCGTAGAGGCGATTATCTCGGAAAGACTGTCCAAGTTGTGCCGCATTTGACAGATGCAATTCAAGACTGGATCGAGAGAGTCGCGCGAATTCCTGTTGATGACACAAAGGAGACTCCGGATGTTTGCATTATCGAGTTGGGTGGTACCGTTGGAGATATTGAGAGTGCTCCATTCATTGAGGCTATGAGACAATTGAAGAGAAGAGCTGGAAAAGGCAATTTCTTGCAAATTCATGTCTCTTTGGTGCCTGTCATTCAAGGCGAGCAGAAGACAAAGCCAACTCAACAAGCCATCAGAGATGTTGGTAGAGCTGGATTGGTCCCAGATTTGGTAAATCTTTGAACTGAAATTCCTGAAGTTTTGGGGGCTAATTATTCTAGATTGCTTGCCGATGCGATGTTCCGCTCGAGAAAAGTACCATCGAAAAGATCGCGATGTTCTGTCAAGTTGAAGGCGAACAAGTCGTTGGTGTACACAACGTCAAATCTACTTACCACGTTCCTTTACTTCTCGAACAGCAAGGCCTTATCTCGACATTGAACAAAATTCTCAATCTCAACGAAATCTCCATGGCGAAAACTGCTGTTGAAAAGGGACAGCGAACATGGGCCGAGTGGAAGTCCCTCACAAGCCAACAAGAACGTTCGTTTGATGACGTTTCCATTGTTCTTGTTGGTAAATATACCAAACTTCACGACTCATACCTTAGTGTTATCAAATCACTCGAACACTCAGCGATGCGATGTGGAAAGAAGCTCAAATTGATCTGGGTTGAAGCCGAGCACCTCGAGGATGATGCCAAGCCAACCGAGTTTCACAAGGCGTGGCATGAGGTCTGCACTGCAGATGGTATTCTCGTTCCTGGAGGATTTGGTGATCGTGGAACGGAGGGCATGATTGCAGCTGCAAAGTGGGCACGTACCAACAAGACGCCTTATTTGGGAATCTGCTTGGGTATGCAAATTGCCGTTATCGAATTTGCTCGTAATGTCTGTGGCATCACTTCTGCTAATTCAGTGGAGCTTAACGCAAACGCAACCGATAAAGTTATTATCTACATGCCAGAGATTGACAAGGTAAATCTTGGTGGAACTATGCGTCTCGGATTACGTCCTACTGAATTCCAGCCGGGATCTGAATGGTCTCGTCTCCGTAAGCTTTATGGCGATAAAACCGAAGTCCACGAACGTCATCGTCATCGATATGAAGTCAACCCAGAGTATGTTGACCGATTACACGATGGTGGTCTTGAATTCGTCGGCAAGGATGACAAGGGTGAGAGAATGGAAATCGTTGAGATCAAGGATCATCCTTGGTACGTAGGTGTACAATTCCATCCGGAATACCTCTCCCGAGTCTTGGCTCCAAGTAAATCATACTTGGGATTTGTAGCAGCAGCAGCGGGATGTTTGGAAAAGATCACGGAGGACTGTTTGAAAGCTGAGTTGGATAACAGCGTCAATGGGGATTTGTCAAATGGAATCAATGGTGTTACGATCTAAGGAAACTGGGACGGAAGGGACTTTTGCATTGGGTTTGGCTGGATGGAAGAATCATAATGTGCCCTTATGTTTGGCTATTTTATAGAAAAATACTCGAAATGGCGGATACATTTCATGGCGTTATCATGGCTGTAATTATACTGGATAAATGAGACATCTAAATGACATACCATTTCTCACTCCATCTCGCTGACTGTAAAGTGATACGCACAGTTCGATCCAAAGGAGTTGCCCGCAGATAAGTGTCTGAGTATCTCAAGCTTACTAATTCTGAGGAAAATGTGGATTCTTTCACAGGTTTGATTGGGAGCAGGCATTCATCTCATACGTGGGAACATCAAGGCGCCAAAGAGGAAAGATTTTCATAAGTTATCTTAATCAGAGATGTCCAATTGAGATGGATCATGTTGGCCATTTACAACTATTTGATGTCATGATCTTGACAGCGTTTTGTCAATTTTCCCTTTCTCCAATCAAAGCATAATTTTGAGAGGCAACACAATTCTGTGCTCTCACGTCCTACCCAATCTTAAACATTCTCCTCCTTCTCGTCAGCCCTGTCCCACATCGTAAAGAAAAATCTCAATCCCACCAATCGCTGTTCTCTTCTCCTCATCCTCGAATTCCCTAAAAACCGATAATTGATCATGTCCCATCAACTTCATCTGTTTTAACGGAATTCCCGTCTCTCTCTCGTCCAGCATTTCTTTCATGTCATATATCGTGGTCCCGTTCAGTAATCCGGTCAAATATACGATGCCTTTTAGAACTTCCTCTGTGCCCTTGAACTCAATGACGGTGCAAAATAAAATCGAACCCGCGAGTTCAGGGATTGCAAGGGCACGGAGTAGAAAGGGTTTGTCGACATCTTTTTGTAAGCCAAGGGGGAACTCGGGCCAATCGACTTTCTCGGAAGATTTTCTCCGGGACGCCCTTCTTCTTCCTGCTCCACCTATTACGATTCCTCCTCCGAGATCTATAGACTCCATAGAAGACTGATCTCCAAAAGGGCGCCTTTCTTGTCCTTCACCTGATGCGCTTGTTATCCTTATGCTTCCGAAATCTCCAGCATCTCCAACACCTCCAAAATCTCCTCCCGCATACCCGACTGGTCTTGTTACCCCTCTCATATAGTCAGGAGTTTCCCTAAGGTCCACCGGTTTCATGTGTTCAGGCGTAGACTCAAAGTGTCTTAAATGACTTGGCGTGGCGTCAGTTTCATATGAGAAATTTCTGGGTCCCTTTGGGCTGCCTTGATTGTGAGTTGGCCGTTCATCATCTTCACTTATCACAGGAAGTGGGGGCCTTCCGCCAGGATTCATGACTCTCAGCGCACCGCGTTGTTGCTGAGAAAGACCAGACGGAGAAACACCGACCTGAAAAACACGTCTTCTTGAGTTGTCCTGGAGTACTCCATGTCTCCAATTTTCTGGAAATGGAGCGGGCACTTTGTATTGTGGTTTTATTCTTTGGCCCCGTGCTCTCCTTGATTCCGCCATGTAGTTAGCAAAAGATTGTCTGTTTCTCGTAATGAGCTCTCTTGCATGAACAGCCTCATAATCGGAAATGGTCTCAATAGGATTTTCTCGTGCCCATTTTATGACATCTTCTACCTTTTCATGCTCCACGGTCGCATAAAATAGTTCAAAGAGATCGAGTGGGTAGGTTTCTTCTTCTTCAACCACGGGTTTGCCGAGACCTCCTCCTGGTTGAGTTGTGATGTCGTTCCATGGGGGTGGAAGGTCTCCGAGGGCGGGTTCGGGGGAATAGGGAGCTGGAAGCAAGGGAGGTACTAAGTCTTGATACACCTTCTTAAGTTGTTGCGTCTTTCGGTATAGATCTTCGATATGAATTCGAGCTTCGCCTTGTACGATCAGACAATCCATTACCAATTTGTGTAGGGTGTCACTGTATAACCGATCCTGGCGAACTTTTTCTCTAGCTTGATTTTCAATTCTTCTCTTTGTCTTAGCCATAGCTTTTTGCTCTTCAGTCTGGTCTGGATCTATGTCGGCCTCGGGTTCAAATGGCAGTGCGTCATACAATCCACTGTAGAAATCTATATCGTCTTGTGTAGCAAGTGTATGCACTCCACCTACTTCTTCATTTAATCCTAGCCAGGTATTTGCTACTTTATAAAGTTTAAGTTCAAATCTTCCCGGGGGACCAGGCTGTCGGCGCCTTGCCTCCCCTTCCCATACCACATTGGGCTCATGATTATATGCAAGTGATGGATTTCCATCCTGGCACCATTCAGTTGTATGTATCATTTGCCATATTATCAGTCCGAGTTGCCATATGTTCGAGTGAGTTCCATAGCGAAGATTATTGAGCACATTTCCATCGCCTGCTTCGCGCATGGATTTAGGCTATATTTGAGGATTAGTGCACATAAAAGGTGGAGTTGGGAGTGAGGAAGCATGATTGGTTTTGCACATACCATCGGATCCATCCACGGTCTTTCCAACGGACGTTCTCGAGTTCTAAGTTGTTCCTTGCAGGAAAAATTAGTCGCTGTATGTTCAGGAATCCAAAATTTGACTTACAGGTAATTTATATCTTTCTGTTCCAAGGCGTCTATGTTTGAAATTGTAGAATAGGTCTTGCTCAAGGGGCACCTCTCCGGCATGCCCATAATCACCAACCTATTTATTTTGGGTGTTAGGGATATGATAAATGCTAGAGTCGTCTTACAACTGTAAATTGACAATCGCACCTTCATTACCAATGCTCCTCTATGTTCATCATCTCTGGGACCAGCGCCCATGAAAACTGAGCAACGGTAAGCAGTTGTGAACTTGAATGTGTGTTCCAAGCTTTAACTTACCATTTTCAGATTTGAAATCAAAGTGAACTATCTCATCCCGATCCCATCTGTCCTCGTTAAGATCTTCGTGTCCAGAATGCATAGCGTATAGACCGCGGGCTATACAATGGAAGGTATCCCATATCTCATATTCCTCAAATATGGATCTATCAAGTCAGTTGATATCATATCGTTCGATATAACAAACCTACCTTTCACTGAAGCGCTCAAATATCCTACTTGAGAGGTCGCCCTTCTCACAGTCTTCCAAATATATCCTGCGTACAGGACCATCTCTGTCCGCATATACCGTGTTAAGACCTCGATCCTCATACATTCTCCGAAACATCTTCACCAGATGCTGAGAGTTCGTATGACGCAGCAGCTCGTATATTTCCGATTCATCTCGCAGATCTCCCCAGCCCCCAGCTTGCTGTTTCACAACTATACTTTCGAAGGGCAATCTCCCCGGCGTACCCTCCGGAGGTTGGCGATATGTCAATCTCCATTTTCCCGCTGTTCCATTCCCGCCTTCGCCCATGATTTTCACCCCGGTCCATGAGGGCTCAGGACCCATCCGACTTTCCGCGGACCAGAGTGGTTCTGATGCTAACCATGCCCTCCCACGAGCACCCATTTCTAGTGGAGTACCGACGAACATTTTTGGAGGCGGCCGCTCTACTCGGAACCCAAGGCGTAGCTCTGCCTCGTCCCACGTTTCGCCGGGTAGTAGTAAAGCCATCTTGATGTCAAGCTGTGTGAGATTCCTGACTCTGGATTTATGTTACGTCCAGGAGGATTGACTAAGCTATCGGGTTACAACTAGCTATACGCAACAAATACACTAGCTTTCGAACACGAAATATTTGATAACATATCGATATGTTTTTCGTGATACTGGAGATAATCAATGAATGTTGCTTTGTGGAAGATATCTCCTTTGTCTTCTGTACATGGTGGCTGTTCTTGGATAACAAATAATGCTTCTTTGTATAATTTGTTCTTTGGTGTGTATTAAGTAAGTCCTACAAGGACTTCTTGGTGATATAAAAGTCTGATGAAAGAAATATTTTCACAAGAGTACATGGAAATCTTTGCAGCAAAAATTACACTGAAAGCTGGGAGGGACGAAAAAGCTACGCTTTTCTCTCCTGAATTTATTCGTTAGTTCGGTCGCTATTGTTCTCAAGTCTACGTGAATCGATCTGATCATCGATACCGAGGTAATATCCTAGTTTCTTTTGACATATTATTTACTAGTTGGAATATAGGCCTCTAAAAGTTTCAATGGTCGATTGCTACCTATGCAATCAACTCGAGATCTAGATCTCAGGGGCTTATGAGGCACTTCACTACAAGTAGGAAACGATTCTCTTTTAAGAACAATCAAGTCCATACATATATATATCATTTTAATTCCTACGATATGAATATAATCAAGGTATCTGCTTTCAACCAAAACTATCCCAGGCGCCAAATCCCGATACCTGAAATCCAAGAACGATAGTGTCCGCTGCCTATCTCATCTCCTGCTTATTTCTCCAGGGTATATTAAAATCCCGCTCCACTTGAATCTCTAGACCCGATCTGCACCTTTGTCATGCATTTCATGATGTTCCGTCTCAGCGGCCCCATTATGTTCAATTCCCTTTGAGATATCGTCGGGAAGAGTACCGAGTGCACGTTCGCCGAAGAGAAGATCGATTTCTTCGAGGGAGAGTTGTTTAGTTTCTTTGAAGAAGAAAAACACAATGGGGATGGTAACTACTACGTTCCACGCTGTAATAGGTCTGATTAGTACAGATTCCAGGTCAGCGACGAAGGAAAACAAAAAACTCACCCGCAAATAAGAAATAAAATTTCCACGTCAGCGCCTTCAAAGCTGTAGGCGAAACTTGTGCCCAGAAGGTAGCGACAAGCCAATTACCAATACCAGTTGCGAATGCATTTCCACGAGCACGGATTTGCATAGGCATGACTTCGGACATGTAGACCCAAGAGATGGGTCCCCATGAAAATGAGAAGATAACTGTGACGCAGAAAATGAAGAAGACTCCTCCGATGGAGAGGCCGCGCTGTGCGTTTTCGGGATCAATTCGGCTGTTGATTATGGACTGGCAGACAAGAGCGATAGTGATACCGACGGTTCCCCAGAGGAGTGGCTTGCGACGTCCGACTCGGTCGATCATGAAGGTGATGAAGATGAGATCTGGAGTTTTTTATTTAGTTGCTGTAGTATTTTATCTTGGGCGGTAGTAAATTTGACTTACTGCCTAAAGGTCCCATGCAGTTGTAAATTCCAGAGACGAGTAAAGCTTTGTTTCCAGTAATTCCCAACGCCTTGTACATAGTATTTTGGTAGTAACCAATAACGTCT